ACACACTCTCTCTCTCTCTCTCTGTCTCTCTTTCTCTCTCTCTCTCTCTGTGTCTCTCTTTCTCTATCTCTCTCTATCTCTCTATCTCTCTCTCTATCTCTCTCTCTCTGTCTCTCTCTCTCTCTCTCTCTCTCTCTCTCTCTCTCTCAATTCATCTAGTAGAATGAAAAAACAAAACAACATAGAAACAACGGGGAGAAAAGGAAAAGGTCGGACTTGCCATTGGCACCCACCAACCACCCGTAGATAGGCGTAAAAAGAGATTTTTGTTTTTTGTCTTAGTAAGATTTTTACAGCACTTGCAACACAATAAGGTCATATAAGTGCCGAAGATTAGAGGTGTTACAAGAGAGTAACAAACACAAAAAAGAAAAAGGAGAGGTAAGGACGATAGATGTTAGATAGGAAAAAAGAAGCAAACCACACCAGAGCACCCGCCAACCACCCAAGGATTTTTATTAGTTTGTTTGCTAACAATGGGGATGGAGATTGGGGGGGGGGGGTTGACAGACAGTTGTTCTGAAGTCGTATGAGCCTCAAGGAGGACATACAGCTATAGATACGCACTTTAAGGGGGGGGAGGCTACACCTGAAGGCTATCTCGCTTATTACTGGTCCGAATTTTACCAAATTTCACACATATAACAAACATAGAAAGGTGTATTTAAATCCGCAATCACATTTGAGAAAAAGTTTCGTTTCTATGGATACGGCGTCCATATTGGATTTTGTTGACATGTCTTACATAATGAATACCGCACTTATCGCTCATGGAAATTGAATGATTTTTTGCATGCGTGTTCACAAACATTAGATCTAAAATTTGTCTGTTGTTTTTTTCCTAACCGAATTACACAATTTTTAATCAATTTTTTCCTGAGGTAGCTTTCAAGTTTTCAAAAAATCCGTAAAAATCCACACTCCAGACACCACCAACAAAAATCTACTCCATATATCAAAAATTCAACAAACAAATTTTTAGTATTAGATCTACATCTTTTCTTCATTCTGTGAAAATTTCATGAAGATTGGATAAAAAATGGTGGAGTTATTAAAAAAAGTATAGAGAAAAGTCGCGTTTTGGGTAAACGGCCGATAAAGAAAAATAAAATACTGACTTAATGAGGAAATGGCGGTGACAAGCATGCCCGGTATGGGAAAAAATACGGTTTTTGGGGTTTTTTATGTGATGAAATAGTTGTAGGAGAGGCTGAGGAAGCTAAAAATGCCTACAACTCAAATTCCATAATTGTGAGTCGAATTTGGACTTTGGGGGTGTAGCCCCCCCCTTAACATTATTTTCTAAAACATAAATATAGCCCAGCATATTTAGAAATAAACAACGATAATGGAAGAACTTTCGTAACGGGCGACCACCTCAATAAGCACGCTAAAGAATGGACCCTAACAATAACCCAAGCCCAAACCCTAACCCTAACCCCAACCCTAACACTAAACCCTAACCCTGTCCCTAACCCTAAGCCTAACCCTCTATCTATTTCACAGTGGTCGGTCGTTACGGAATTCCTCCCATAACACAGACTACCTTTCACAAACCAAAACGAACAAGTAAGGGCATATGTGAGGCAGCGTGGTGGAATCAGACTCTCGTCAAAATAATCAAAGTGAAGAAACTGACATTTCTCCGCCGGTTTGCGAATTTTTATCGAACTTTTGGTTTTTGACTCAACACCTTTCATGCCCATTAAAGAACACATTTCTGTGTGGATTTTACTGAAAAACGTTGATTGAAGGCACAACATAATTAAATTTTCAGTTACCACGGACTCTTAAGGAAATAACTAACCTTTGGAGGCAACTTTCTCACTAATTTTACTTCTAAAACCATGCGACCCCCATCTCCTTTATTCGCAAATATTTTGACTTGTATTCAGGATAAATGAATAAATTTTTCATCTAAATAAAGACAAGTGAACAAGCTTTAAGATGATACCAATAACTCCACATGGCCAAGAATAATTTGACGAGAGCCTGTTTCTACCGCGTCGTGACACATATAATAATATCTGTCTTTACTAAAAGACAAGAAAATAAAACAAAACATTTTTAAGTTTGTTCTTTATTCCCTGACACGAGTCATGGTAGCTATGAGTTGGTCACTGAACACACTTTGTACGAGTACACGAAACTCCAAGTTTACCTTATCTCATAATATTCCAAGTTTTGAACACATCAGAAATCACAACACTCGCACTTCTTGTTTCAAACTGGTTTACAAAAAAATCAACAACCCCACAACTCCAAACTGTAGTTACCTCCAGTCGCCACCACTATTGCACTGTGATCTATACCTCGTGGTCATATTATAGAAAGAGAAAAAAGAGAAACCACCTCTCGCTTTGCTCCCTCGAGCAAATAATCAACCCGTGACGACCCCCCGTTCTCTTTGCCGTTCACAAGAACCTGAGTGGAAGAAAAATCTTGTTGACAATATAATAATACCCGATCCCTAAACACCACGGCCAAGCCTTCAGTACAGGCAGAGTGACGGCGCAGAACCTTTTCAATTTTTGTTTGCACTAAGTAAGCCTGTACCTTGCTTAATTCTCTAGCTTTGACCAAACCTAACCGTATGATCGCCCAACACACACACACACA